GCCGTTCTAATTTTGTAAAAAGCACTCAAGGTGAGAGATGGTGGGAGATAATTCTCAGTCTGTATTCTGTAAACTGTCCGCAGTAAAAGGGATGTCCCAAATCCTGTAGCAGGTACTACGGAAGAATCTCTTAAATGGGTTGACAGAAATCAAGGTAGGAGGAATGTCCTCAGGATGTGGGGCCAGTGATCATTAATGAGCCCACCCTGTGTTTTACTTTTAAGAAAGGAACCCTCCACGTTTCCTCTTATTCTCCTCTCTCCTACATGCCAGACCGGGGAACCCCCTATACGGTGACCATGGGGGCCACAGCGCCCACCAGCACCTTTTTGGGTGCCTGCCAAGTGTTCTTAGGAAGTGGGTGAGGACAAGATGGAGGAGAGGAGGTAAGCCACTTTGGGGGAGCCTATAAATGAAGCAAATAAAATGATTGTGGAGCACCCGGCTTACAAGTTAACAATATTATCTGCATAGAGTGGGTAGCGATTTGGCTCTGGCTTCTCCTTCCACCACACAGAGTCTGCCATCGCAGATGTATACAACAAACCTTCAACATGGAATGGTAGCACTTGGACAGAGTTGCACAGTCTCCGTGACAGAATAATTCTTTCTAGCCTGGACAAGAAACTCAGCAGCATGAAAGTCTACAGACCTTGAACATAATACCTTTCATTCGCCAGAAATCATGAGGGGTTTGGAGCCCTGAAATACAAGGGCAGGCAAGTTGGTTAGCTGAAGGATCCATAGAAGGTTAAATCTCGCCCTTCTCTTTCTTTTAACAAAAGACTTTCTGTAATTTCAGCCTCTTGGGTATTCGGGGATTACTTGTCTGGAAAGCAACCAAATCATCTCCTCTGTTGTGTCGCTCAGCACATGAACACCATCTCGCACACTGCGAGGCATGATAAGGCCCGCGCCATAAATGAGTATTAAGAGCCCTGGCTCAGCTGATACCTTCTGGGAAGAATTTTAATCTGACAAGTGATTTCGATTATGTTTTGAGCCCCAGAAGGACAAAGTGAAATACAGTGGGCCACAAACAGGGTTCCCAGCTCTGGGTTGGGAAATACCTGGAGATTTGGGGGGTTTAGAGGAAGGTGGGGTTCGGGGAACATGGGGAGCTCAGAAGGGTACAGTGCCACAGTGCCCACTCTCCAAAGCAGCTATTTCCTCCAGGGGAGAACAACTTTGTCAGCTGGAGAATAACTGCAATAAAGGGAGATCTTCAGGCCCCACCTGGAGGTTGGCAACCCCAGTCACAAAAATGCAAGCGAGCATGTTTTCAAAACATGGCATGGAAAGGACGGTATGAAAAACATTTCAGCATGTGGCCTTGGGGAGAGGAGGACTATCTTACATGGAGGAACCGAAACTTTTGAAGACAGTTTTCTGTTAAGGGAGTTTCAAGTCTGTGTCTCAAATATAAGGAACTACAATCCTGAAGGAAAATATGCCAATAACTTAATAGTTTATTAGTCAGTCAACGATATTACAAATATTTAAAAATTACTTAATATATAAATAATTGGCAGCAAACTATTCCATTACAGAGTTAAATTACCAGTACAACAGACAGACTGGAGATTTAGACACCTGGAAGATAACAGTAAAATTAACTAAAGATTTTTTAACAAAAGATTTTAAGCCAAAGGTGATTAACTTGGGGTACAAACCACCAAACACTGCTGCCTTCAACCCCTCCCCTTAATTTCCAGGGGGCTTTTATGGGTTCCCAACGGAAGTGCCACCGAACCCGAGGGAGGTGACTTGGCAGCAGGGCCTGGTGGACTGCTCCCTTTGTGTCCATAAAATAAAAACTGCTTTAACACCGCATTAGGAATACAAAATAAAATTAACTGAAAATATTGATTTGCATATCAAAGAACCATTTATAATTACAATTGAAACACTCCATAAACCACTTGTGCGATTCTTTACAGAAACTCGGAATTTAGAAACTAGTTGCTTTAATATTACAAAGATTTTAGCTCTAAAAATAATTCAACATAAAATAAACTTTTAGCCATTAGCGTCATAAAATTATATATTTCCACATAAAAATACAAAATAATATTAATGACAAGAATATGAAAAATTATTCCAAGTATTTTTTACTATTTGAAATAAAACAAAAACAAAAACAAAAAAGGACAACAAAATAGAAATATGCATGAAAAAAGTCTCTCCTTTTGTTAGCAAAACACTATCCAAAATAACTACGATCATTTACATCAGTACAAAGATTTCTGGATTTTAAAAAATATTTGCAATGACAAAAGGGGTTTTCTTTTTCTGACAGTAAAAAATGACACTGTGGATAAAATTTGCAAAAGATGCAATGAAAAAAATAAAATTTGCATTTAAAAAGGTTTACACTGTTATTCTTTTTATACAAACATTAGAAACAGTATTGCACGTCACAACACAGAATCGAGGTTAGTCAGCCTTCCAAAATGTGTTATATTCAAGTTTTGTAGCATCTTTGAGGAGAGGCTTCGTGCAGCCAGATGCAACAGGGAATAAAATATCAAGTGTTTTCCATACACAAATATATAAATGCTAAATGTTTCCTTCTTAACAAAAAAAGTGTGGACTTTTTAAGTACTCCCCCCCCCCTCCACAGTCATACATGTTTGGGCAGCAATATGCACATTTGGGGGAACAAAGTAAAGAAGCTTTAAAAATACAAAAATACAATAAAATTAATCTCCTACAAAAAATAGCAAAATAAATATGATTTGTAAAAAAAAGAACCTAACCGAACATTGTGGAACCACTAGGAGAAAAAAAGAGAGCGCAATCCACCCAACCACCAGTGCTCCACGCTCAGGAGCAAAGAACAATATTTATGTTCTTGCCCGGCTCCCACAAGTTTCAAAGGGCACTGGTACCAAAGACCTTCATGGTGGATTGTGCCCTAAGAGCACAATCTTTGAAAGAACAAAGGAAAGATATAGGTTGCAGAAGCTATTTGCTTTAATAGCTCCAGAAATGAAGTGTCAAGCAAAGTCTGATATTTTGGTTATGTTTACCCACACCAAAAATAAAGAGGAGATATCCTCATGTTTCTCTAGCTTTCATAGCGTAATGGAAGGGGAAATGGATTTTTTCAACATCTCCAATTATTTCAACTGTTTTTCCATATTTGTTTTCATTATTCAAAACATGTAAAGGCTCTTCAATTTTAAACTTCAGGCAAGAAATATGAAAATAAAGTTAAAAACATCTGCAGAATTAAATTATATCTAAATAATTAACATTGCAAAACTACGGATTTCCCCCCCCCTTTCTAAATTCCAAAAATTGAGGTATAGCAAAGGAGATGTCATCAGTCAAAAAAAGGTGTGCCTTAAAATAGCTGACTTGTTGGAAAAAAATCTCTCATAGAGATATAAAAATAGTGCATAACAAATGTCAAAAATGGATCAAGGTTTGGCAGGGTTCTAAAGGGTTAGAAAAGAATACTCCCAAAAAACCTGGAGGTCATGGTTAAGTAACAAATAGGGAACATTGACAAACAAATCAGTTAAAAAGCTCTTCTTAAAACAGCATCAACTTTAGAACATTAAAAACGTGAACCACAACCACGACAAAACAGCAGTTAGACATGAACCACGTATTGTACAGTACAAAAAAGCACACTGCAAATGACCAATATAAGAGTAACACTTTGCTTACATGAAGGATTGTCCCCAGGGGGTTGCCAGGAGCAAAACCCTAGTATATTTCTCTCTAGGAGTTAGAGACTTTCAGTTCTGCTTTTGTTGGGTGCTTGCTTAAACTGTAGAGCAGCTCTTTCCTTCCACTGAAACATGAGGGCTAGTTGCATTAAAATGCTTGGAGATGGACAAAAACACTGCTAATGAACAGTTCTCATTCAGAATCTCGGAAAAGTACATGTGTGGTTTTTGTTTCTTCTCAAAGATCTGCAGGCCATATCATTACTAGATCTCCATCAACATAAAAAATACTATGTTTGGTTGTCACTCGACTAACAACATTTCATGCAACAGTGACCCCAATGGGATAGAAGACCAAATGCACTCAAGATCAAGCAAGCACACATACAACTTTAAACCGGATTTCACTGTTGTCTTAAAGGTAAATTTTAGCTTATGCAACTAGCTGTCTGTATATTACACCATCTCCATTTTGACTTCATTTAGATTTTATTACTAAAGCATCAGGCTTTCTTTTATGAACACATTTCTACACACACTTCTCAGTAGTTTCCCATTTGGTGACTGGTTAGCAGTGGGCTGGCCATCTTTGGTTTTGTAGAGGAAGTTTTAACCATGAACGATTAAAGGGGCTGAAATAATAAGTTTGAAAACTACTTTTGTTTTTTACTCAAACGTGTCTATGCTATACCACTCCACATTAATTAGAATCACACATCACAAAATTGCACAGGGATTACAATATTATATCCAGTCTGCAAAAATTGAATTCCACTACCAACCAGGTCACAAAATGGCTGCACTTTCTAATCTAAAACTAATTTGCATATTGTACACATGTAGGACATTAAAAAAAACTGAGTCACAATCATGCATGCACGTCTCTCTTGTTTTGTAACAAATTTCGCAATTTGCTCGTGCTACCTAGATTTCAGAGCCTTTAAAAAAACTGCAATAACTTGCATCTTGTTAGATCTAGTGCATGCATATGGTATATACAGGTAAGTAAACATGCAATTTTTCACATTCTAAAACTATGGCAGTTTTGGCCATATTGTGCTGCCTGCATTTTAATCTGTAATGCAGTGTATCTTGAAATCCCGTATTAATAGGTGGCATTACACACAACACCTAGATAGCAGCAAAGCTAATACAGCTTGTGATTATAAATGTTTAAAAATAGCTAATAAATCAGATTATCTTGAGGTATTATTTCTTGCAAGTCAAAATGGAGCGCAAAAAATCAACCCTATTTTTTAAATTGATGTATACACTGAAAATAGCAACAACAATAAAAATAAGCTTTTTTTTGTAGCAGACATATTCCATCTTTACTATTTTTGCTACCTTTGGTAAATTACTGGGGCAGATCTTGAAGTTTAAAAACCCATGTTTAGAAATAAGTGCACGCTTCACCCACTAAATATAGCAGCAGACTCTGTGCCCCTACGCAAAAACATTCTCATATCTAGGTTTAAATTTACATATAAAAATAAGTTGGCGAAAAATACAAAAAAACATTTTTTTTAATTTTAACATGAAAATATCACAAAAATCAGTAAGCCTGAGATGTAGGGTTTTGGTGAAAAACAAGAGGCTTTGTAGTGTTTTGGCTGCTGAAAAAGATGCATGTATTGAGAGTTGGGGTAAGAAGCAGAAAAATGCACTTATTTCTTCTGCATGTCATTTTCGTCAAACACAGTAGGCCACATGCATTCTTCTTTCCTGACAGGGATCTTGACGGATCTAGCTCAGTTCCAGCGGAAGTGGATCTGGCGGGGGCGGTCAGCCCCTTCCTTAACCAATGGCTTATGGAATTCACGTCCTGCCCGAGAATGGATGTTCGCCCAGCAGAACTCACAGTAATACTGCAGGCAAGTGACATTGGCACAGAAAAACGGAGCAAACTTCCCACCGCACCTTGCACCCTGGCATTCGTCACACATCTGGTCATCCAGCACGTATGGCTTCACCTCCACCTGTTTGAACAAAGAAAATGGAATCTCTGACTGTCCTCAAATGTGTGTCTTCCCAACCATGACGGAAACACTGTATTAAAACCCTGGGTTGATCCACAAGCTTATTCCCTGTGAGGTAGGTGGCAGTAGTCCTGAGTGACTCACGGCCACGTGGGCTGAGCAAAGCGCGTTGCATTTCAGACCCAGAACCAATTATCTGCCCACAATCTATCCACTGGTGTGCCAATTATATTAAAAGAAACCATTTTTGGTGGGACTGAATGTAGTAGTAAGGGTTCCCCATCAAAGGATGCGCATTGTCTTCCTTCTTTACAGGCTATGCTTACAGTTTTATGGCTGCTAAACAAAGAGGGTTAAGATCCCCAGGCACCATGAGGCAAACAACAAAGGGAAAACAGTCTCAGAAATTAGCTTCGCTATTACACACACCACCCCCAACAATAAATGACTGAACAATCAGGCTCCTGCATATTTTCAAGAGTATAAATGCAAGACAGATTACAGTCCAAGACAATATCGCAACAAGAAAATACTGTGACAGAAACAACACTAAATAAAATATTACCAAAATATAGGAATAGACATGTGCATTATTAATTTCTATAAGAATTACTTTAAGATCAAACTAGAGAACCTCTTCAGAAGGTGCCAAATATATGGGAATTAATCTTCAAAAATTCTACAATGCATAATATACGGTTTTACAAGTAAAAATCAATTTCTTAACAATTCAAAAGTCCAGCAGTCAAAAAATCCAGACAAGAATTCTGGATAAGTCCCCCATTTCAATTATCTTTTTTCAGAAGGGGGACTACTATTACTGCATCAAAAATGCTTCTGTTCTCCAAATCAAATTCTAAACGTCATTGCATGTTCAAATGGCCAGAAATATGTACTACAAATGGGCTACCAGTCCTATATTCAAGAAGAAGCTAGCCTCTACAGAGGCCATACCAGCTTTGGAAAAGCAGAGATTACTTTCTTCTTAAATGTATTTTGCACACTCTGAAGGTTCTCCAGTTTGATCTTAAAGCAGGCCCGTAGCCAGGATTTTTAAAGTTGGGGGGCATTTAAATTTCTTAGGGGGCACTGGCTAATTGATACCGGGCTCCTTCCCCACACCTGCTGCTGCTCAGGGTCCCTGGGCTGGATGGGAAGTCGTGGGGCCTTGCCAGTCAGTCAGTAAGCCTTGCCACCCTGTAGCTATGGGCCTGTCTTAAAGTAGTTCCTATAGAAATTAATAATACACATGACTACAGTTCTTATATTTTGGCAATACTTAATGTTGTGTTTTTTCTTGTTGTGGTATTTTCAAGAGTGGTCATGTGAAGAATGTTAATCAGCAGAAGAAAAGGGACACAAAAGCTCTTTGATGCTCTGGTCAGTCACAGCTCAAGAAAACAAATGTATTTTCTGTATCATTAAGCATTCTCTACTTTGTGTAAAATATCACCCCTTAACCACTTACATAACTTTGCAAAACCTTTACATATTAAATCCTGGCTGCAGAATCTCCATATTTCTTGGTGCTGCTGGGGCCCATTCTGCTCAGGGATGAAGGAAGTTCTGCTCCAAGAAAACAGAACAACAAGATTCCCAGGGATTAAGCTTTCGAGAATCAAAGTTCCCTTCAACAGAGCTTTTGACCCTTGAGAGCACATGCCCTGGAAATCTCATTGGTTTTTAAGGTGCTACTAAAATTTACTCCTCTATTGCAGACCGACATGGCGATCCACCTGAAACTATCTCCAAGAAACTAGCACTTGTAAAAGAAACCTAGTCATTTTCATGTAACATCCAATAAATGAACGTAAGAGTTACAGAATAATTTGCCATCCCAGACTGATATGCAGTAACTGGGTGATTAGTTTTGAGAATAGCAGGGGTGGGGGGGAGAAGTTCAGTACAAAATTATATCTCAGGGGAAAATTATTCATGTTTTTTTAATGCAAGGTAATATGAGCTTTAATGACATACTCTGTATGATTGTTGCCTACCAGAGGTGGCAGTGCTTAAAGCTCCTCTCCAATACTTTCCACCCATCTCATTTGACCTTCTCCCCGCTGCAAGCCCCTCTCTCAACCCCTAAAAGAAATTAAAGGGAACCGTTTTCCTAAGGCCGTAGTAGCAAGCCTATGGCAGAAAGATCCACTCAGCCCATGACTTGCTCTTAATCCCCTCATATAGATGGGGAACTCAAGCTGGAAAAAGACGGTTTTGGTCCCAGCCAGACAATAAGTCAGTGGCTATCAGAGATAAAGCCGAAAAGGACTCTTGTAATGTAAGTGGATTTACTCAACATATTTCAACATGCTTCTGGAAATGAAAACACAGGAAGAGAACTCCTAGAAACAGATCCTTGTAAAAAAGGAAAGAAACCATCGTATTTTTGCATGGCAGAGGAAGGACTGCTGGGAGCACCAGAGAAGCTCTATGTGAAAACGGGGTTGCACTTACCTGTAACCGTTGTTCACCGAGTGGTCTTCTGTGCAGGCATACGCGGGGACTGGGAAATGGCAGGCCAGCTGCAGAGAAATGCTTCCAAGTTTTAAAGAACTTTCCAGAGCTTAGGAGTGCTCCCCCTACCCTCCGTCTCAGATCTTTCCTTTCTCACCCAGAGGGTCATGTGATGGAGGTGGAGAGAACACTCCTCCCTCAGTTCTCCCTTCACCACCGTGAGGAGCTACAGAACTCCATAGAGCAGCCCCCAGCAGGGAAAGGAGGGATGGATGTGTCCCTGCACAGAAGAGCACTCGATGAACAACAGTTACAGGTAAGTGCAACCCTGTTTTCATTGTTGTGGCTTCTGTGCAGTCCCACATGGGAGAGTAGCAAGTTCACTTACCAAGGAAGCAGATGTGGGCCCATCAGCGGAAGAGTAACTGCAGCACTGCTTCTCCCACAGCAGCTTTGTTCCCGGAATCTACGTCAACAGAGTAGTGTCTGATGAATGTTGAGGGCGTCAACCAGGTGGCTGCTTTACAGAAGTTGTCCAGTGAAAGGCTGCGATCATACGCACAATTAGACCTGACACAGGCACGAATGTTGGGCAGATTTAAAGGGAGCGATCAGACAACAACATCTGGGAAGTGCCCCACAGCTGTCGGCAAATGGCAAAGGATGTTAAATAATATTGAGGAGAGGATTGCCCCTTACAGGAGTTCAGGCAATTCCTAGAGATTTGGCTGTTGTTTTATTCTTGCAGATGCGATCTAAGACATCATCAGTCTAAGTGCTGAAGAGCTCCCGACCTTCAAATGGGAGGTCCTTGATCTTTGCTCTGGTATCCTGGGGAAGGGTTGAAGATTTCAGCCAGGAACGCCTCCTAAGTACAATGCTGGAGGTCATGGCCCTGCTGTGACTGTCAGCCACATGCCTGATTCCGTTCAACTGTTGCTTCTCCAATTTCTGCCCTTCTGAGAGTAACACATTTCTGAGTGCTTTTTTAAATCGTCTGGTAACAATTTTACATATTCTGCCATGTGACTTCCCAATAACATTTGGTACCGGCCCATAATGGCAGTAAAGTTCGCAACTTGTAGGCCCATTGACCCAGAGGAGTAGACCTTTCGACTCAGATAGTGTAGTCTGTGACCCTCTTTATCAAGTGGTGAAGAGTGAGCTCCTATTCTGCCTCTTGGTGGTAGGACTTCAGATCAGAGAGTTAGCTTGTGGATGTTGAAAAAGGTAGGCACATCCATCCTCTCTGACCTTATATAGATTTTCAAGTTTCTCTGCAGAAGCCAGAGTCGAAGCTGGCACAGACCACACATCCACTGCAATTTCCTGAATGCCCTGTAGCAAAGGCAGGGCGATCAGGCCAGAGTCCAGGGTGTAGAGGACCTTCATTATCAGGTCTGTGGGTTGCAGCACTGAGGAGAGATATTCAAGTTCTAGTGCCTTCACCATGTGAATAAGTTGTCTGGAATATAACTTTAGATCCTTTGTAGGAAATGGGGCTGACAGTTCCCCAACCACTTCATCGGGTGAAGGCATTTAAGATGTCTTCCGAATTCGTTTCTGATCCTTGCTCCATCCATCCCCTCTTCAGATTCTGACAGGAAGTGTGAGGCAGTATCAGCCACAAGATGTTGTTTGCCTTGTTGACTCTTCTTCCTCCTGCCTCTAGAAACCATTTGCCGGGGATACCATGAGTAGAGAGCACACTGTTTCTGAGGATCCAATGCCCCCCTCTGATTTGGAAGCATCATTGGAAATGGAAAGCACAGGTTTTGCTGTGGTGGCCATTAAGTAGAAGAGGATTGGGATGCTGGCTGTTTGTGACCGTGTGGTTGCTCTGAAGTGGGAGGTGAGACTTCAAATACTTCATCATCCGAAGACCTAGGTGAACGAGGGTTGCACCCTGATGGTGATGGTGTCCTTGGATGTGGTGAGACCTTGACACCAATCTGGACTGGAGATGGACGGCACTGAGGTGATCTTGAATGACGGTCTGCTGAAGCCGAGAGGTGGCTTCAAGTCGAGTCGGCTGTTTGATGCTGATTGGGAGAGTTCTGTCAACCTCGAGAGTGAGCTTTGGCCTCAAGGGGATGGTGTTCCTTAACACCGAGGCAACAGCAGACAATGCTGAGATGAGGGTGAATGGTGTTGGGGGAGCCATGTTGGGTGTGTTTCACTTTTTTATTTTTTTGACAGCAGCTCTGATGCTGATCGTGCCATGGTCAATTTTTCTTCTGTCTCCGATGCCAATGGCAGGCAGGGCATGAGGCTGTGTTATGGTCTTCATCCAGGCATAAAAGCCATGATCTTTGGACCCACATTCTTCACATTTTTTAAAGAAAGCCATCCTACTGAACTCCACAGGAACAATTTGACTGAAAAAGCATCGTAGAAAAGAAGCTTATTGAATCTCATCCTCTCCTCATGGTGGCAAGAAGAGAACTGAAAGAGGGGTGCTCTCCCTGCATCCATCACGTGACCTTTTGGGTGGAAAAGGAAAGATGCAAGACTGATAGGCGGGTGAGCACACCTAAGCGCTG